TGAATTATCTTTTCTCCAATCTGCTTGGCAAACGAGGTGCTTTCTTTTTACCGACCCCCGAATGACGTCACGGGACAGTCCAATATTTTAGAGTGTGGTAAGGAAGGGTTTTCTGTGGTTTCTGAGCTTTGGCGCGTTTTTTGTACGGCTAAGGTTTTCGCGCGTTTACCTAACACTAACCAAAACTACACGCTTAATCTCTCTCTTCTGCCTTTTTATCTTCCAATGGAGCATAGGCCCTCAACCAACTCACGCCAAGTCGTTCTATCCTTCGCCATTACATGGAGCTCTCCCCATGTCCTCCCAATCTTTCTAACCTCATTCTCCAGCTCTCTTCTCCATGTGTTTTTTGGCCTTCCTTTAATCACCACTCCATAAAATATTTGACTGCCCCGTGACCTGTGGATTTCTCCTATTTGTGGTCTGCTAATAAGAAAGTACCGCACACACTACACTCATTTTCATCATGTAAGTGAGGTTCCAAGAAAAACTGCAAGGCTTGTCTGTGTGTCTGCTGCTCCTCCGCTCTCCAGCTAATGATTTCATCTACAAATCAATCAGTCAATCAGCATGTCCTTTACAGAACTTTGCTGTCTTCTCAGCACGCCTGAAAGTCTCTCTCTAGCTAATTCTTCAGCCCTGTGTTCTTTCATACCCAATGCACCTTCAGTGTCCTATGTCCACGAACGCGGAGGTCGGCCTCTGCCTCTTTTTCTTGGAAACTACCTTCCATCCCCGTTCTCCCCAGACCACCATGGCGCTTGACATATCCTAAATACCTCAGCTTTCAGAAGAAGCTGCTGTTTACAAGCCAGTTCTCCTCAATGCTCAAGTCATGCAGGATGTCGATGTTTTTCTTCTTCTTTGTGCACGGTATTCTGAGAATTTTCTGTGACATTTCAGTTCAGAAACTCTGATTTTATTCTTCCAAGCTAGAGTCCATGACTCACATCCATAAGTTGCCCAAAAGCATGTCGTGAGAGTCGACTAACTGGGAGCTTTCTTCTAAGGCCGAGTACACCTGTGTGAGAGGCAAGGAACCAACAGTCTGCATAGAAAAAGGTCAGATCTGTAAAACAAATTTGCACAGAACACTCAGGTTCTGGAACAAGTCTTAAGCCCAGAGGTGGACAAATAATCAGAACTTTCTGGCGGAGTTTACAGCCGGTGAACGCGAAGAAAAAGAAGACTAGCAGGTTACAACAGCCAGGTGTGGCCGTTATGAGTGCCCTAATTATAACATCTTTAAAGGTTGAACAGGGTACCTAAGACTCGCCATGTTGATCGCCATGTAACAGCCAAAAGAGGAAAAACAGTCAGTAAAATAAGGGCAAATAATTCACAAACAAACAATAAAATAAACGAACAATTACACTGAAAAATATCTAATTTTCAGTAAATAATGTACAATTTATTAGCAAACTGTAGTGGTAGTCAATTGCATGTGGGAATAAATAGCCACATTACAGGAAATACATAACAGACAATTTTTGGGAACTAGAAGAAGCATACAACACCCATCAAGTGCTAACTGGTCTATACAAATATAGGACTGCCAAACTGTTAATTACTGCCTTTATTTCACCACTATCGCAGTGCAGGCGGGAATGGGTGGGTCTTTGAACCTGAGGATTTACGGAGGCGTGGCTAGTACTGTCACCATGACGGTGCAGGCGGGTCTTTGAGACTGAGGATTTACGGAGGCGTGGCTAGTACTGTCACCATGACGGTGCAGGCGGGTCTTTGAGACTGAGGATTTACAGACATGGCTAGTACTGTCACCATGACGGTGCAGGCGGGTCTTTGAGACTGAGGATTTATGGAGGCATGGCTAGTACTGTCAACATGACGGTGCAGGCGGGGAGGGGTGAGTCTTTGAACCTTAGAATTTACTGAGGCATGGCTAGTACTGTCACCATGTCGGTGCAGGCGGGAAGGGGTGAGTCTTTGAACCGAAGGATTTACGGAGGCGGGGCTAGCACTGTCACCATGACGGTGCAGGTGGGGAGGGGTGGGTCTTTGAACCTGAGGATTTACGGAGGCATGGCTAGTACTGTCACCATGACGGTGCAGGTGGGGATTTTATTTTACTGGAGAAAAATCCCTAGGCTTACCAGGGTTTCGAACCTGGGCCTCCCACTTAAGAGACCAGCGTTCAAACCGTTTGGCCAGCCACTCCTCTAAATACAGGACTAGCCACAATATACCCAACATGTGTCAATGTTAAGAAGGCAAACTTTTGCTTACCTCAAGCACAACAATAGACTCTTCCGTAAACATCAGGCTAGTGGTCAGTGTACAAGGTCCGACACATAAGTAATGAGACTGATTTTTATTTTGGACAAGACAAAAGTGCCATCTATGAAGCAAAGCATGGAATTAGTGATTAATGATTAGAAAGGATTATCAACACAGCACTCCGGACAGATCTACAGGTGCTCCGATCTCCTCCTCAAAAGCTCCACAAGTGTAAAACGACTGATGACACCTGTTCTGTGTTGGTTAATGAAACGTCTTGTCTTCTAAGTGAAATGTTCATCATTTCTTGCAGCTCCAAGCTGCACCCCCATGTCCTTTGGCATGCTCCTCAGTAAGGTAAGTGCAGCGCATGGCATTGATAACATCACTTCAGTCTAGTACTGAGCCAGCCATAGCAACTGCAGTGTCAGCAAGATAGTCTGTATGCTCGTTCCCTCGAACACCTGCATGACCTGGCACAAAAATGAAGGTTAGGGCAACTCCTCGATGATCTGGCAAATTTTCATCGCCGCTCAATAAGCAGACAACAAACAAGCCGTCATTTTGTTGACCTAGTCAGTGGTGCATTGTTATGTAATCAGCATGGAGCAAAAAGCTAACATTACATTATTTTTAAAACCCAGAAACAGCCCCATTGAAACAGTTGAAATGATGCAACACGTTTATGGGGATAATTGTTGATCTCGTTAACACATTTTTAGGTGGTATTCACGATTCAAAAGGGGTGTGGAAATTATTACTAATGCACCTAGACCTTGACGCCACATTTCTGTTCATAATGATGAACTCCTTGCAAAAGTCAGAGAACGGATACAAGAAGATCATTGTTTCACTGTGAGGATGATGGCAGATGAATCTGGTGTTAATAAAGAGATCCTTCCTAAAATTTTAGTGCAAGATTTTGGCAAGAAAAAAGTTGCTTGCTGGTTTGTACATTCATTGTCTGATAACCAAAAACAGCAGCAGGTTAAGTACCCAAGAGACATCATCAAAACAAGACTTTCTGGCCCCCCAAAAAAGTGTGTGTTCTCAGACTTCCGCCCTATTTCCCAGATTCATCTCCCAGTGATTATTTTCTATTTCCAAAATTAAAGTAATAATTAAAAGGACGCTTCTTTAACAATATTGATGACATCCAAAGGGCCTTAACATTGACTTTAAGGGCCATAACAACAGAAGAACTACAGAGGTTGTTCCAGTGTTTGTTAGATCGTGCCACTTGCTGTATCATTGCACAAGGGGCTTACTTTGAATCAGATAAACATTATATCTTTAACTGTTGATTATTTAAATTTTTATGGAATAAGTCTCATTACTTAACTGTCAGACATTGTACACTGAGGGGTTTATTTACTGGCATCTCTGCATCTTTCAAGAAGAGTGTTATAGTTTAGGTTTAGATTAAGACAACGGACCATTAGCATAACACAAGGGTAGTAACCCATACATGCTCCGTTCTACTTCTGACTCAAGCTGGAGTCTGAAGAATCTCAGCGCAGTGCATGAACTCCGTAGCACCGGCGAAGATCCTGAAATACTTTTAGGTAGATTTTTAACTCCAAACGTTTGCCTGGGCAGCGCCATTAGGCTACTCTTTTTGATTTCTAACTGCCAAGGGACCTGTCTCCATTCATCTCTATGGTTGGTCTTCTCTTTCCAGTTGGTGACACCAAGTGTTTGCAGATCTGCCTGGACATTATCTCACCATAGTCTTCTTGGTCTGCCTCGTGGTCTATGACCATTCATCTCCCTCGTGTATACAGTTTTTACTTCTGTCATCTGACATTCTTTCAAAATGCCCCAACCATTTCAGTCTATTAGCTCTCATGATGCCAGTGATCAATGGTGATTTAAACAGATTATGAATTTCGTTGTCGCTTAGTCACTCTCCATTCACCGCTGTTTGCATCTTTGATGGGTTGACTTAGACTTGGCATCCAATAATCAATTTATTTATAACAGAGGGGATGGAGTACCTATGAAATGTCCAGAGTGCAATGATAGTGGTCTTAAATATATGTAAGTAGACCTCTGGTATGTCAGGGGGATGATGAGGGAGCAAAGAATAGTGACAATACACCTAAGCCTGTCATGAGAGGCATACAAGACACATGGGCAAGGTTGGGCATGAGGCTGGCTACCTCTCATCCCTAGAACACCACAGAGCCAACCAATTTTGACCAAGGATGCTGGTACTGTAGAGGACACACAGTGAGAAAACTTACACAAAATAACTCAAATATCTTTGCATTGAAACCCCCAAAATCACAGGAAGAAAAGCAGACCAAAAATACATGGAGAAGGAAAACCTGATAAAATACAACTAGAATGTCTTTGCACAGGAACCCACATGATCAGAGGAAGAAAGGCAGACAAAGAATACATAGAGAAGGGAATTAGAGTGAAGTGAAAAGAATGCAGTATATGGGGTGAGCTGTATGAGAAAGTAAAGGATAGGGCAAGATGGCATGAGCAGGTGGAGGGTCTTTGCTCCGTTGAAGACAAAGGGCAAAAAAAACAGAGAGTAAAGAAAGAAATTTAACTAGCCACTGAAAACAGAGCCTTTACACTACATTACCATTACTCCATAATGGCATGTACAACTCGTTTAATCACACAAGATACATATTTAACTCCCTATTTGGTTGCCTTAACAAGAACATCTGACACCTCTCAAATAACTATTTAAACATGAAATTATGTACATATGCAAAAAGAACTTTAAACAGTTGTGTCTCATCCTAGTCCTTAGCATCTCCAATACCATCTGCATTAATTGCAAACATGGCCTCAGCCTCTGGAAGACACGGGGAGTCGTAGATTTTGCAGATCCTTGTCTCTCCTCGACCTTTTCTCAGTGACAATCTGAAAGGGCAGAAACAAAGATGTTACCCCAGAAAGCTGTCCCCACACTAATGAGAAGTCATACTTCATGGATAGCTGTTTTTATGGTTGACGAGTTGATTATGACTCCCTGACAAGTGAGTTTCAACTCTTTGACCTTTTGACCTGAAAACCCTCAAGAGAAAAAAGCCTAGAACCTAAAAATTCTGTTTAAAAAAAAAGCCACAGATAATATTCTAAAAATAAATATATGAACTGGCGCAATCAGTAAACATGAACAGATCAAATAATTTCATGACTTCATTTATTTGGACCTTGAAAACATGTTCGCGGTGACTCATACCATCTCCAATTACAAAAGGCTATAGGAGAAATATGATATGATCAAGGCTTTTAAATAAAAAGTTTTTTGTTTTTTTTCACACACAAAAATCCTCAAGGATATATTGTTACCAAATATAATCATATCCACCCTTCCTAAATACTGCACAAGTGCAAACAGAACCAATGCCATCATCTAGGTTTTTCATGGGACTGGCAAAATCAGCAAAGCCAGTTTAGCAGCTTCTCAGGGATTTGTATCAGATGGTGATGCCAGATTAGCAGCATCCCAGGGCCAAAGGGGTTAAGAGGACAGAAGAGAAATAACATCAGCGAAATCCAGATCATGAAGCTGGTTTTTAGGGGTCCACTGAATTCCATTCTTGGTGTTAGCAGCAGTTGTCTTCATAATCCAGTCTATTGCCAGTAAAAATCCATGTTTAACACCTGTTATTTCAAATTCATATTATCTTTCCCTCATTTCGTGCCTCTGCATGTTGCCTTTACAATTTTAAAAATTTTCTGAGGGATTCCATAGTGCCCCATTAATTTCCAGAGAGGGATCCTCTATCAATGCTTTCAAAAGCTTTTTCATGGTCTATGAATCCAATATAAAGTGGTGAATTCAATTCAATGCTCTGCTCGATTATTATGCGTAATGTGGCTATCTGTTTGGCCGAAAACCTACCTGTTCATCTCTTAGCAAATTATCAGTAGCATCTTTTAGTCTTTCCAAAATAATCCTACTTAATATCTTACCAGGAACTGACAACAACATAATTCCTCAATAGTTCTTACACTCCTGTAGATTACCTTTTTGGGGGGCAGTTTCATAAGATATCCTTCTCTCCAGTCTGCTGGTGTTTCTTCGGTCTCCCAGACTTTACTAAAAAATCTATGTAGCAATTCCGTAGATGTGTTTATGTTGGCCACTTCTGCTCGGTATACCATATGGACCTGCCACCTTTCCTTCCTTAAGAAGATTGATTGCTTTTCTAATTTCCTCTTTAGATGGTATCTCACAGTTGATATGAAGTTCCAGTTCTAAAGAATGGATATCTGGAGGAACCTCTAGGGCTGGTCTATTCATAAGTATTTCAAAATATTCAGCCCATCTGTCCATTTGATCTTTAGTGTTAGTAAGTACCTTTCCTTGACTATTTTTGATTGATCCAGTTGGCAGACCATATTTACCTACTAATTTCCTTGTGTTACTGTAAAGTTCTCTGAGGTTTCCTTTGGCTGCTGCTGTCTTGTGCTAAGTCATTGAAGTATTTCATTTTTTCTGCCTTTATACGGGAGTCGCCCTGGCAGAGCAGCTAGATGTTCACCTGAGGATTGGAAGGTCGTGGGTTTGCTCCATAGAGGAGCCTGACTTTTTTTTTAAATGACCTTGGCTCCCAGGTCAACCCAGCCTTGAGAGTTGGCAGAAAACTGTCAGTGCAAATATTTTACCAGTTTAAAATACAATAGATAGCATTCAAGTCATCAGAAGATTGTAAAGTATAGGACTGCTAGGTAGGTATGAGTGTTTGAATACTTATGGTCCACTGCAGGACAAAGGACAGAAGACAACGTTAGTAAGCAATCACATGCATGACATAATTCCTTGGGAGAGTTCGGAGCTTACTGGGCTGGGATACCCTTCTACTTGTGTGGGTCTAAGGAAGGCGACTAGAGCACTTATATAGATACTGTGTGGATATAAAGTGATCCTTTCACAAAAGAGAAACCATACAAATAAGGACAAATGATAAATGCAAGGTTGTATACATGTAAGGAACTATGATAAATCTATGCTAGTATACACATAAGGAAACTTGATAAACCTACGCTACTATACATGTAAGGAACTTTGATAAATACACGCTTCTACATATAATTACTGTGATAAATCTATACTAGTATACACATAGGATATTGAGAAAACCAGAGAACAATATAACTAGAATGTCTTTGCACTGGAACCCACAGGGGCATAGGAAGGCCAAAAAACAATGGATAAGGGAGCTGGAGAATGAAATTAGAAAGATAGTGAGGACACGGGAAGAGCTGCATGCGATAGCAAAGGATAGAATGACTTGACGTGAGTTGGTTGAGGGCCTATGCTCCATTGGGGGCTAGAAAGGCAGAAGAAGAGATACACATAAGGAAATAGAATAAATCTACAATAGTATACTTACAAGGAACCACGTTAAATATGTGCTGCTATAAAAATAAGCAACACTGATGAATCAATGCTTGTCGAGATAAAAGCAACCGGGCCTGTGTGCTGACTATTAAATGAAAATTTGGGTTAAACAATATGTCAGTTTATCTTATCGTTATAAAGGCAGGGTAATCTTTTTTGTGTTTTTAAATGTAAATATTTAAAATCAGAATCAAAATGATAATTTCATTTTTCTATAAAACTTCTTTCAAAACTCATATGTCATGAATGAATTCAGTTTATGTTCTGTACCTGGTAGTGGATGCATGTGCTATTATGTTTCCACCAATTGGCTTCTTGGGATCTGCTGCAAACATGGCCGCTCCGTCCACTTGTGCCACCACTTGGTTTGTTATAACTACAGCCACTCCAAACTGTTAATGGAATGTTTCAGTATATAAACTGTGTCTCAATAATAAACATAATTGTAACAGAATATCAAAACAAGAGTATGTTGAATGAATAGCAGGGCCCCCGTGTGGATTCTGGGGCTTTATTTGGTTCGGGGAAGGGGGGGGGGAACAGACCCACTGCACCCCCTACCAACAAGTAAGTAAGTAAAGATCCTTTTTCCTGCCTTTTAGGCACATCGGGCATATGGGAAGAGCACCCATATTTTTACAGACCAATCGGCATGAGGTGGGTAATGAGGTCAGCATTCCGCCGGCCATAACAACATGGCGATAGAAGTGGGCAAACAACTAGAACTTTCTAGTGAAGCTTACAGCCAGTGAATGCGAAGAAGAATAGCAGTTGATCAAGTTCTTCGGTATTGTGGTTTACAGCTATGCTGTGATATCTATGACTTTCGACCCAACACATCCGACTTCAGCAAAATCCCGATTAGTTGCTTTTTACAAGATGTTTGTTGAGGGCCTGTGGGTTCATTCTCCCCCCCCCCCCCCCTTCCCTTCTCAAAAATGGGTCTCCACAACCCACACTGGGAAGTGGATAAACAGAAGTGATGGTAATTACAAAGAAACAAATGATGATGTCTTCCAGAATACATCATCTAAGTAACTAATGGAACTCAAAGAGATGGAAAGTTTTCATTTTAATAAAACTTTGCACAAAATATACTAATCATAATCTTTTAGGAAGTCACTGTAGCACAATTGCTAGCATGCATGCCTACCAGTATGGTGGAAATAAGTTCAAATCCTTACAGAAGCCAATGGTAACCCTTTCGCCCTCATGACCTAAAAAAAAAAAGAGGCTTAGCTCCCGTAATTTTAATTTGTTTTTGGATTTCTCTTTATATTTTCCTAAGAAAGGAAAAATACCATTTTACGTCGTATGTCACATTTGAAAAGAGACAGATGTAAAATGGTAAAACAAAACAAATACTATGCAGAGTAAGGGCAGTGATCAATAAAAACGAATATAGCACAGAACTGACTGGCTTCCATCTCTTGGAGACTGCAAACTAATTATAGCGTGACACTTACTTGATCCTGTACCTGGTAATCACCGCAGCCAATAAGAAAAAATCTGACAAAGAAATATCTACAACTAAAGCCCTTTATCAAAGTAAATTTAGCCCCCCCCCCCCCTTTCCCCCAGTCATGCTGAACGTTTGCACAGATGCAATTAATTCTAATTAATGAATTTAAACGAAAAATACACAAGTGAGCATACACTAAACCTCCATTATGGGACAGACAGGAGACTGTGTGGTCTTGAGGCATAGTGTCCACCTTGAGTGCTAGAGGTACCGGGTTCAATCCCCGGTAAGGGCTGGAGTTTTTTCATATGGAATTGGACTTCTAGTAATTCTCCCTGGTCTCCGGGTAGTGAAATCGGACGCCCGTGCGCATTGCTGCGCACATAAAAAAATTTCTAGGCAGTTGGAACTTGAAAAGAGTAGCCTAGCGGCGCTGCCCGGGCAAAATTTGGAGTAAAAAATCTACCCAAAGTATTTCAGGATCCTCACAGGTGCTACAGAGCTTGTAAACTGTGCTGAGTTTCTTCAGACTCAGACTTGAGTTAGAAGAAGAACAGAGCACTTAAGAGTTACTACCCGTATGCAATGATGTTGATCCGTTGTTCAAACCACAAACTATGGGACAGACAAGAAGAGAGTGATACCCACCTCATCAGCCAGGCGTAGCAACATCCTGAGGAATCTAGCCAGGTGCATTTGTCTAGCAGACAGCTCCCCACGCCCAGCATAGTCTGTTCTGTACAGCGCGGTGGCACTGTCTACAACCAGAAGGGCATATCTAATGGACAGAACAAGGAAGTATTTTACACAAACATCCCCGATAAGGGAAACATCCATGCATATTTTCTTTTCTCTTTCAAGAGGTGTACATCAAGTACAGTAACATGCCCATCTTTGTTTGTTTGTTATTCACCATCAAAGGTTATAATGTCCAGTCCCTTCACCTGATATTTTTTTTGCGTTGACAATCTCTGAGCTCCGGCAGAAAATTCTGGTTGTTCATCCATTTTAGATTGTGGCTTTGTGCCAGGACCTGAATTTTGCGTGCACATCCCCTTTACTGGCTTTTTTGTGTGCAGTTGGTTGTTCCTTGCTTCTCAGGCAGATGTACCTTTATCTGAAAAATCCCTTCATAAAATACAGAGTGGTTCAAGTAGGCATCACATATTTTACATCATTCTGTCATTTATTAGTGTGTTTTTTATTTCATTTCTTTACATGATATCTGAATCATAAAATGCAGTCACAGCTGCTTAAGTTTGTGTACCAAGAAGGAGAAAACACATTCTCTATGATCTGAACAACCAGGAAGGCTATCTAGGTCAACAAATGCCCACAGGTCAGATGTGTTGGCCCAAAGGTGCAAATATCGCAGCCATGCTGTAAATGGGCACAACGTAATTACATCTTCAGATGAACGCAGAAGCCTTGTCTTATGATCAATTAGAGAATTAAAACTAAAATATCACCATTCCTCAAGTTCTTCATGTAATAACCACATACAATACTCTCAGACTACAACTACCCCGCACAAAAATTTTCCCACTAGCAACAACATTTTCAAGAGTTAACAGTGAATCAAAGATTATACAAAAAATAACCTTTTGGGTGGCCAAAATTAATTTTTAGTAATTAGGCATCTGCGTGAGACTAAACCATTCAAGCTCTACCAAAACAGACAGATTAAGATTCGGGAGACAAATAAACAATTTTATGTGAGTTAAAAGGTGAAAAAAGTAGCAGGCACTGGTTAGGAAACACATTGAGACAAACTGGTAATAATATAACTAGAATGTCCTTGCACTGGTATCCATTGGACCACCAAAGAAATAAAAAATTACACTGAGAACAGAGAACAAGAAGTAAAGGACGTTGGTTGATATGTACGTGCCAGCAAAGGATAGGATGAGTTGGCACCAGCTGGTTGTAGACCTATACTCTGCTGGAGGGTAAAGGGCAGAAGCAGAAGTCATTCTGAAGACTGGCATATAAATCTTCTTTTTCTTCTTAGCATTTGCTGGCTGTAAACTCCGGAAGATAGTCCTAGTTGTTCATTCATTTTTGGACTCAAGTTTTGCATGCACATCCGTTTTACCATTCTTCTTCTTCTTTTTTCACCAGCTGTAAGCCCCGGCCGAAAGTCATGGTTGTTTTTTCATCCACTTGGACTTTGGCTTTGTGCCAGGGCCTGAGTTTCACATGTACATCTGTTTTACTGGTTTATTTGTGTGTAATTGGTTGTTCCTTGCTGCTCGGGCAGATGCACTCTGACTTCTAAGAAACCCCCCAATTAGTTGACTCCTACGATATGCTTGTTGAGGGAGCAGTGGGTCTATTCTTGTTTTCCCTATAGTGGGGCTCTGGAGTCCAGAGGGAAAGTCCGTTCTGGTTTATTTATATGCAGACAGTTGGTTCCTCACTTCTCAGGTAGATGCACTCCAACTTTCATGACATGCTTTTAGGTGATAGTGGGTCCATCCCCCCCCCCCCCCCCAACTGGGGCCCTGGAACCCTCATGGGGGTGGCAGATGAATGAATGTTACTCACCGAGACTCTGCCATCATTGCTGCAGCCTGAATCAGAAGCTGACTTTGATGGTCACTGTTGTATGCCCTGGCGTATGCTACATTGTCAAGGACATCTGTGCCTGAAAGCCCATATCTGTGGGAAGATTGTGTGATACACAATATACCATTCTTTCTCACAATTCTTTTCATTAGGGTTAGTTTTTCAGAAGACATATGTCAAGGACATCTGTGCCTGAAAGCCCATATCTGTGGGAAGATTGTGTGATACACAATATACCATTCTCTGTCACAATTCTTTTCATTAGGGTTATTTTTTCAGAAGACATATGTCAAGGACATCTGTGCCTGAAAGCCCCTATCTGTGGGAAGATTGTGTGATACACAATATACCATTCTCTCTCACAATTATTTTCATTAGAGTTATTTTTTCAGAAGACATATGTCAAGGACATCTGTGCCTGAAAGCCCATATCTGTGGGAAGATTGTGTGATACACAATATACCATTCTCTCTCACAATTCTTTTCATTAGGGTTAGTTTTTCAGAAGACATATGTCAAGGACATCTGTGCCTGAAAGCCCATATCTGTGGGAAGATTGTGTGATACACAATATACCATTCTCTGTCACAATTCTTTTCATTAGGGTTATTTTTTCAGAAGACATATGTCAAGGACATCTGTGCCTAAAAGCCCCTATCTGTGGGAAGATTGTGTGATACACAATATACCATTCTCTCTCACAATTATTTTCATTAGAGTTATTTTTTCAGAAGACATATGTCAAGGACATCTGTGCCTGAAAGCCCATATCTGTGGGAAGATTGTGTGATACACAATATACCATTCTCTCTCACAATTCTTTTCATTAGGGTTATTTTTTCAGAAGACATATGTCAAGGACATCTGTGCCTGAAAGCCCATATCTGTGGGAAGATTGTGTGATACACAATATACCATTCTCTCTCACAATTCTTTTCATTAGGGTTAGTTTTTCAGAAGACATATGTCAAGGACATCTGTGCCTGAAAGCCCATATCTGTGGGAAGATTGTGTGATACACAATATACCATTCTCTGTCACAATTCTTTTCATTAGGGTTAGTTTTTCAGAAGACATATGTCAAGGACATCTATGCCTGAAAGCCCATATCTGTGGGAAGATTGTGTGATACACAATATACCATTCTCTGTCACAATTCTTTTCATTAGGGTTAATTTTTCAGAAGACTTGTATAAATATATGTTACCTGCCAGTCCCATAACCTTAGTTCTAAATAATCAGTAAAATTTTTCTGCGACTTGGCAGTTTTTCTCTTGCCTTGGATATCTTAGTCAGACTATGCCTCTCAAAATAAATGGTTTCTTTGAATATTTTTTGACCGGATAAATAGATATGCTGTTTTATAGCTGCTTAATTGTTCGATTTAGTTTTATATTACATTAAAAGTACCACTTCATACCTGGTTGCTTCTGTGGAAAGAGTAATATAATCTATGTACAGAGGAACAATACTACTTAGTTTTCTGAACTCCCATTGAAATTGAAATTTGTTTTTAAATAAGTACTTATCAAAGTTAGCAATTTGATATTTTCACAAAATTTAACATAACTACGACATCTACTATAGTCCGTTCCAAAAGTAATGCCTTAAAACTTTCACAAATATGCCAGGTTATATGCTAAGTTTGCCCGGCTCACTAGTGTTGTTGGTTAAACCTAACTTTGCGGTAACCGGGTGACAAACTCCTAGTGGTCCGGGTTCAGGCAGAAAAGCCACATTTCTCCCAGATTTAAGGTATCTATCATAGAATCAAGGCTGAAGGGTTGCGATATCTATAGTACTGAGCCGAAGGGTTGCGATATCCATAATACAGAGCCAAAGGGTTAACAACTCGTGGTTTCTGGATATTAAAAAAAAAACAATTTTCAATAATTTACACAGAAAACTGGGCACAACTTTAACTCTTTGAGTCCCAGGGAACGCATCATATGTTTATAGGTTCTTACCTAGAAGCCCAATGAACGCATGATGTTTTGATTTTAGTCTCTCTTTACTACCCCTTGAGCCTGTGATGCTAAACCCCATTGGACTCAAAAAGAGTTAAGAATTGATTATAAAAGGATAACTTTACAGTGCATCTCACAAAATCAAACTGAGACAAGAAATAAAATTAAGGTGCCCAAATACAGACATGAATTTGCATCTACTGATGAATATTCTGCTCAAGCCTCAAAACAATAACTAAAATAAACGTGAGGAACAGGAACAAACCTGTCTGCAACTGCCAAAAGTCTCTCTGGACGAAAAGTTCCTTCAGTATCAATGTACATAGCTTTCCCTTCACCTCCTCCCATATCAATTGGTAGCTGTCAAATATAAGAACCACATTTAACATACAAAAATTGTATAACTACCAGAGACATCCTACCACATCCACATTCAGCAACAGCATCTCATTTTATGACTCCCTAAGATCCACTACAATAAGAAAGAGACAAACACTAGTCTTTGGCCACATAATGAGAAGAGAGACATAGGAAAGCATCGTGACAACGGAAAAGATCAGTGAGAAAAAGAGTGAAGGCAGACTAAAAGAGATAATGCTGGATGGGCTGAAATTATGGCATGGAGAAATTTCATCAAGAGAGCTGTTCTAGGCAACCAGGGATTGTGATCTGTGGAGACTCATGAGTGTCATGATGGTGATGATGAAGATCTACTTCAGCAAATCAGACCTGCCTTAGAGTAGGAGTGACCTGGCAAGAGCAGACGATGCAACAGCACTGAATTAACTTCAAAGGACATGTAAGCAGGGCTTTTCTTTCTAGAAAAAAGTGGCAGGTGCTCATCATACAGTGTCTTTAAAAAAAGTGCTGAAACCCACCACAAAATGTCTATTACAGTATTGCTCACAAAATGTGTGTCTAAAAAAGGTGCTGGCACTAGATATCGTTGTGTACCGACAGAAAAAAACCTGTTATAGAGGAAAGCGCATTGAAAGCTGAATTAAAAATTGACATCACATCACTCAGGTTCCCCATAAGCGCTCTGCAGCCATCTTCAGCAGGGGCAGGGTTAATCAATTGGGACAGCACAGTGGCTAGCAAGCTGACCTGTCAGTTCAGTAGCCATATGTGAAATCCTCATCAAGGCTGATTTTTTTTTTAAATGACCTAAGCTATCAAACTGAGTTAACCAACCTAAAATGCAGATGGGACATGCCCAGGAAAATAAAGATGGCTGTCAACATACTAACTGCAAAACTCACTGCATTTCCCCTGGTCTAAAAACCAAAAATGATGTTGGCAATATATGCCCAATAGCTCCAAAGCACAGTAATGAGACAGCCCCCGTGTGGGTTCCGGGGTCCCATTGTGGGGAAAACAAGAATAGACCCACTGCCCCCCGTGTAGGTTCCGGGGCCCCATTGTGGGGAAAACAAGAATAGACCCAATGCCTCCCCAAGATATGTCGTAAGAGTAGACTAATTGGGGAGCTTCCTTTGAAGTCGGAGTGCATCTGCCAGAGAGTCAAGGACCCAACAGTCTGTATTCAAGAGAATGAGATCTGTAAAACTGATGCACACGCAACACTCAGGTTCTGGAGCAGGACTGCAGTTCAGTAGTGGACGAGCAACCAGAACTTTCTGCCAGAGTGTACAGCTGGTGAACGCGAAGAAGAAGAAGAAGAATAAGACCAGGTGTCCCATTTATGCAACTCGTGACAACATCTCCTTTATATTAGTAGATAGGGAAAAGTACAAAAACAAAAAAGCTTTATATGGTGAATATTTGAAATAAAATTGTATGCCAGCTTTATAACTTAACCACTGTGATTATTTCCATTGATATCATTAATGTTTTACCTTTCCTTTGAAGTAAACAAGGCAGGGATCCTGATGCTTGGGCAACATATGGTCTCTACAATACTACCCAGGCTTTGTGCTACGAAGAGGAGGAACTTTATCCCTGGACTTAACTGTGAGTCCCCTTCCTCCTCATAGCACAATATATCACTATCTTCTGGAAAAATGGAAAGGTGCCAACAAATTAACATTTAAACCTGAAGATGTAAGCAGGAAGAAAAGTAGAAGCACAGGAACAGCGGGGAAGAAAAAAAATGTTTTTAATCTAAAGATTTTGACAAATGTATTATTTCTTTACCTGGCATGTGACAGCAAGTGTGTGACAGAGCTGTGTCTTCCCTGTCCGGAATTCACCAAATATTTCAGTAATGGACCCAGTCTCTATACCACCTGCATGGAAAATATTCTTTATTAGGTACAAGATTATTTTAAACATAAATAAATAAAAACAAATATTCCAATACAGATGAAGAACTGCTTTGTAGCATTTGAAAATGAAAAAGTAGGTGCTTTGTTAATATCCTACCCCAGATGACATCACAGGACAGTGACATTTTAGAGGTTGGTAAGACTGGGTTATCTGGCTTTCTGATGCTTTTAACGACCCCGAAACATCTAGAACTGGCCCTAACTCCAACCCACCTATGTCCCACGAGAGAGTGCAGCCTAGGTCCCACGACTGCATGCAGCCTAGCTACCACCCCCTGAAATATTAGACTGTCCAGTGACCTGAGGATTTCCACTGTTTGGGGTAGGATATTAATAAAGCACCAAAAAAGTTTTACCTTGCTAAAAATGAAAAAAGACAGCTTGTAACAACAGAAGGAAATACATTAGTTGATGAGACAACAACAGAGGAATGTATTATATGATGACAAAGCAAAAGACAGAAATACATTTTTTGTGACACAATAGAAGTACATTATTTGTTTGCACAACAATAGAAGGAAATGCATTATCTGAGGACATCACTTAAATAAATATACTATTTGATGATACAACAGAAGGAAACATACAAGGGGAAGTCAATAAGTAAGTCACAAATAGATATGGAATGGCAGGAAAATCTAGCTGGTGGTTTCTAAAGGTGTCATTAGGTAGCAGCAACATCAAACTTTATGTCTCTGTTCGTTTGGTGATGCTAGGTGTTGCATGAGCATGCGCAGAACAGAAAAAAAAAATGGCAACTGTACTTACGGACTGTACCCTCAAAGAACAATGTGCTGTTGTGCATTTTTTTTTTTAAATGCAACAGGGCTGCCTGCCCTGTTTATGCTGACAAATGTGTATCCCGTAAAGCGGCGCATAGCTGGGTAAAGAATTTTTCTCAAAGACGCTTTTTGGTCTACTGAAAACCCACCTTGACAGGAGACATTTCAAGAACTAAGCAGAAGTTGAATGTGAAGTGAAAATGTGGTTTAGAAAACAAAGCTTTCAGTTCTATGCAGCAGATCTGGGAAAACTGATAAAACAATGATACAAGAGCATCAATGTTGGTGGAAATTATTTTGAGACATAAAATGACAGTGAATGTGTAAAAAAAAACAAGTTTTCAAGTTGTTATCGTCTTCATTAATGTTTTTTATTTTAACCATTTGTGACTTACTTATACTCGCAATTTAATTATACAACTGAAAGAAATACATTATTTTATGATGCAAAATAATAAAACATCCGGTGACGCATAAGAAAGAAATATATGATGTCACAAAAGAGGGAATGCATTTTTTGATGATAGAGCAAAGAAAATACATTACCTGATGATACAGTAGAAAGAAATCCATTATTTGATGACACAACAGAAGGAAATATTTGATGACATATCTGATGGAAATATGTCATGGCAAAACTGAAGAAAATATTTGATGACACAAAAAAGCAAATATTTGATGACACACATAGAGGGATATACATTGTGTAATTATACAACAGAAAGAAATACATTATATGATGACACAACAGAGAGACATACATTATTTGACGACACACAATAAAAGTAAAAGCATTATCTGATGACATAACAGAAGGAAATACAATAATTAATGACACAACAGAAGGAAACATTAGTTAATGGTACAATGGAAGGAAATATTGATGGCACAAAATAACACACACAGAAACTGGTGACATGTCTAAAGGAAATATGAAACAAAATAAGGAAGAAATTTTTAATGACACATTAAAAAAATACATTATCTGAAGGTACAGTAGGAAGAAATGCATTATTTGATGACACAACAGAAGGAAATATTGAATGAAACAAATGAAGGAAATATCTGATGACACAAGGAGAAGGAAATATATTATCTAATGACAAAACAACAACATAAAGAATTACATTATTTGATGACATAACAACAGAAAGAATTACATTATTTGATAACACAGCAATAACAGAGGAAAATAATTTTTTTTTTTACATAACTGATTAAAATGAATCACCTTGCAACAATTTATCAAGCTCCTTGGAACCAGTGGTTACCTGTATTATTTCTGATCTTTTCTGGTGAAATTCTGTGGCCGTTGTAAAACCCATGGGTACAAGCTTGGCAGCTTCTGCCTGCGTAAGACAAGAAACAAAACATTTTTATTTTGTACTGTCTGGTATAAATAATAAATCCACTGTCACTGGACATTAGGGAATGAATTCTTGCATGGTGTCTGGTATAAATAATAAATCCTGTGCGACTGGAGGTTAGGAAAATAATTCTTGCATGCTATCTGGTATAAATAATAAATCCACTGTCACTGGACATTAGGGAATGAATTTTTGCATGGTGTCTGGTATAAATAATAAATCCTGTGTGACTGGAGTTTAGGAAAAGTATTCTTGCATGCTATCTGGCATAAATAATAACTCCACTTCAATAAATCTATGCCACTGGAGTTTAGGAAGAGAATTCTTGCATGTTTTATGTATATTAAATAGTTTTATCAAGTGAATGGGAATCCTCGACATCTGGACATTTTATAAACAAGCTCACAAACAAGGAACACCAACAAAAGTGACAAACCTCTCTTCATGTATCTCATCCTGAGACATGCAAGATCTTGTCAAGGCTCAGGTTGCCTAAACCTAAACATATCAGACTTGAGTTAGACCCTCAGTTTTCCAGATATCTTCCAACAACAATCACTTGGAGGGTTCTTCATCATTTGCCCTGAAAAGGCTGGTTGGTATTGTGTTGTGGTTTACATCTAGGCCGCAATATCTCCACCTTTTGGCCTCAACACAACTCATTTCAGCATACCCCTAAATAGTGGCATTTTACAACGTGCTTGTTAGGGAGGCAGCAGGTCTGTCTCCCCCCCCCTCCCCCAACGGGATCCCAAAACCTGGATGAGAAGGACTGTTAGCAACAATAAAGGTTAAGGTTACAGTCGAGAGGACTGACTTCATTGCACCAGGTTTGATTTCATAGGGCTCGGTCTTGCCACCTGCAAAGAGTTTCACATAAAGCACGAACTCTGTAGCTCCAGTGACAACCCCCCAGGAATCTCTATAAAAACTGCATTTGTAACTTGAACAGTGCAGCCATGAAATGAACCCATGATCTTCAGAGCACAAGGCCAACAGCTTGACCACTTTGCCACAGAGACCACAATCGGCAACAGTGAGCAAGGTCTCTGCCAATTTCATCCTGAATAATGCAAGCCCTTATCAAGGCCCAAGCGGCGTGAACATGAACCCATCAGACTCAAGAGTTAGATCTCAGTCTTCCACAAATCTTCCAAACAACCAATAATCGAATGGGTAAAATGCTTGACTCACCACAATCTTGTCAGCTTTCACTTCACTGATCCCTTTGATTGCCAGTAACATTTTCTTTGGAGCAAATGCTACAGATTCAACAGTGAAGAAACCTGCTTCTTCCAGCTTTTTTATATCTGCAGCATTAATTCCGTTACCCTGAAGATTACAAGAGAACACACCATCTTAAATATAAACAATGTAGTAAATAGCTTGAAAACATTGTTATGAGTAACTCTATACTCACTCACATCCAATCAGAATAGAAAATCCAGAACTTGAGTTTTCCAGGCATAAACGTTTTACACATCTGACTTGTTTGTATGCAGACTATTGGTTCCTTGCCTCTCAGGCAGATGCACTCCCACATCTAAGGAAATACCTCTAATTAGTCACCTTTTGCAGCATGCTTGTTAGGGGAACAGTGAGTTTATTTTGTTTTCCCACAGAACACACACAGGGATACACATGAATGATTAAGTGAGATGCTCATAGATTCAGTAACTTTTTAAAGGATATATGATACTCTAAATTGATTGTTTTAATTCTTTCTTTTGTCAGTTTCTGCTCTGTACTGCTGAGCATATCAGATTAACAGATGATAGGTAGCCAAGCAGTGTGTGCTCCAGTGCTTTATATGCTGTGATATCTCAGGTTGACAGTGACTCCTTCAGTCCTTCTTCTTTCAACAGTTTTTCTAATCTCTTCGTTTCTTACATGGCCTCTTTGTTTTAATTAAGCAAGTTTCTTCTCTATTCTTTTTGCTCTGAATTATCGGGCAGAATGTAAGACAGGCCTGCATGCCAAAACCCTGTTTGTTTTTCCATTCGTTTGTTCATTGGCTGTAAACTCCAGCTTTTTATAGTTATAAACTTCTCGTCCGTTTTAGGATGAAATTTTTCGTTTTTTGAAGCCCTACTCTGGCTTTTGCCAGGGGCCGCACTATAGCCTGGCCATAAATATGGCCTAAAGGCTGAACGCAGTTTCTGGGACTTCTCCACGGTGATCCTCATCCACATGGTGGAACATTGTGTCATTGAGTGTTTATCGCTTGTTTGATGTCCTGGTGGGGTAGAAGGTCAGTCAGTCAGTCAAACTTCAGCTGAAAGATCAGGTTGTTTGTCCACTTCTGGACTCTGGTCTAGTTCAGAACTTGAGTTTTGTGTGAACATCTGTTTTGCAGATCTGGCTTAGTTGTATATAGACTGTTTGTTCCTTGCCTCAAAGACACATGCACTCTGACTTTGAAGAAAACGCCTCTAATTAGTTGCCTCTTAGGGCATGTTTGTTAGGGAGGCAGGGGTCTATTACTTTATGTCCAAAAAGGAGCCCCAGAACCTACACAAGGAGAAATTAAGCAACTGTGAAATGTTATGAATAAACTTACCTCTATTTTTGCTAGTGGCATAGGTCCAAATGTTTCCTCTTCAGCGCTCTGAGCTGTCTGCTCTGGTTGTACCTTTTGCATGGCTGCAGCCATCTTTCTCTAGCACAGGCAGTCTTACCTCTCGACAACAGATTGGCTAACTGATATTAGAAGATACAAATCAAAGCTGCCTGTCTCATATCAAAACTGGGGATTATCTGACTAATTAATCCATATCATAATTTAACAGTTAAAAGGTTAAAGTTGAGAAGATCGACTTCATTGCAACGGGTTTTACTCCATATGCCTCAGTCTCCCTCCACAGAACGGCTAGCCGCCTGTCGAGAGCATCGCATAAAGCACAGACTCTGTAGCTCCGCCGACGATTCCTAGGGGTCTCTGTAAAAAATGCACTCGTGAACTGAAGGCCGCAGCCATGAAACGCACCCACAACCTTCAGAGCGTGAGGCCAATGACTTGACCACTTCGCCACGCATGTTGGAAGAATGGGGAAAGCCTCAAATGAAAACCGTAAATGTGTGATAGAAATTACCATGCCATTTGTCATGTAACCTGTAATACGACTGTTGAGATGTCAAGAGTGTTGAGCATGTGACATCATGATGCAGACGAACACGGGGATCTTTCAAAATGACTTCTCTGACCGACTGTTCACAACCCGATCAGGCACATCAAGTTGTGACCAAAGTCATGCTGTTTTGATACATATTCCTCCACTCGAACACTTGCTAGACTGGCAGGTATGCATCACTATACTGGAGCTTCATTCGCTGATGAATTTCTATTGGTTTCACCCCTTCACTGATTAAAAAAACAACAGAACGGTGCTCCTTTTTGGTGCATGTCAAAAGTGTGAGTGGCCACCTTTAAACTGTGACCATGTTCATCTGCACTGTGATGTCACATACTTAACAAACTTGACATTTTAACAATACTGACAGGTTACAAAACAATGGCATTGTTACTGTAATTTCTATCACACTTTTAAGGTTTTCATGGGGGAGGGGGGGGGGGGGTTAAACAAAATACCAAGCCACTGTAGTGTGAACTATTAGCCTTTCACCTAATCTAGGCATTAACATATAAAAAGTTTAAGAAATCAGTTCCCTATGCTGACGCCTGACCTTAGATAGCTCCTGGCAAATTTTATTAAACCAAACATCATGTATTCATAGTTTTCCTGTTACGTATACAATGTTATATACAAACAACAATAACAATATAAATACTCTGGCTTTCGAACAATTGCCGCTGGAATTTGAATGGGGTACTATTTAACTGCAATTTTAGGAGCTAACCAATTGTTCTGCTTGTTAACTTTAACATAATTTAGAAAGTTGCTTAAAGCATTAAGACTTAGTAAATGTACTTCATAAATTAAGTTGACTTAATAACTGTTCCTACAGACACAATTCTGAAAAAATATAAGGTCCCTGGGGCTGGTCAACTAGCTGATTGCCAGGACATAAGCTTCCAAAGATAATATTTTACAATGAACTCCAGCAAGGAAAAGTTCCCCCAAGTGGACAGAAGAAAAGTTACAGTCACTCAAAACTGTTCTTACAAATTAAAAAACGAAACACAGAAGGCTGTTGCACAAGACCAATCTGAATGTGGCGTACAGTCACAAGCACTGTGAATCAGCCTACCAGGTAGTGGAAGATGAACTGGCAGAGAAGCGGAGAGAGTAGAATAATGGCAAATTCTGTCAGTTACTATTGGGGTCATCTGCTGTCCATACTGTTCAAGAACTTTCCAGACTTGAACTGAACTCACACAAGTCATCTTCATACTCACAATCCAATCATTAATTATAATACTTTCGGATGCTAGAGGTGGTCATCACTTGTTGTGATGGACGCAAAAATAATATCAAGATCAAACAGTTAAATTTTGAAAATTATAACACAAATAATTATACAGCAGGAGGTAACAGAGAGTGAAATTCACAATCTGTTTAAAACATCATTGATAAATGGCATTATGAGGCTAATAATAATACAGATTGCAGTGCAGGATGTGGCAGATGATCTCCAGATGGGTGTATCAGACGCAGGACATCTTGCTCAGGATAGGAAGGTTTTCCGGAGGGTTGTTATGGCAGCGAGGTTCCGCGAGGGACATGCTACTGAATGAATGAATGAGTCAGAAAGCCTGGGCCATATAGAGAATGGTAGATAATAAATAAGATTGTCACTGAATAAGATTGTAATTTTATTATTCGCTACTTGAAGTGACTGAAAAGATCATAAATACAGGACTCTGTTATTAATTACCGTAAAACTTAAAATAAATAGCGTCCCGGCTGCTTGAATTTTGCAACTGTCGAAATCCAAAATAAATCTGTACCCGCCTCCTATCTACGCACAAACAATTCCAGCTGAATTTGCAGAACCCGCCGTTTGGGTCAACTTCCGGTAGTAAGATTGTTTCTGTTCTTTGATTTTTCAATTCCTAACTTTTAACGCCAGCTTGCTGTGGTACTCTATATTAATTATAGAAGTTCTCTTTTTAAGTTTTTGTTTTTTTTAATACATTTATTCCCCCCCCCCCCCAATATTGTATGTTATTATATGTATTCACCATTTGGCACATTGTTATTGCCATTATTGTTAATAGCATTATTATTGTTATCATCATAATTCCTCACTTAAGTAAGGTTTCGGCCCTCGAGCACACCCCTCCCCTTAATGTGACCAAAATATTTCAGCTTCCGGGACAGGATGCGGTTTGTTAGCCAATCTTCCTTGATGTTCAGATACTTCAAGATGTCAGCATTTCTCCTCTTCTTTGTCCAAGATATTCTGAGAATTTGTCTATAGCATTTCAGCTCAAAAACCCCATATACTCTTTGTTAAGGACTGTGAGATAGTCTGCGACTCACATCCGAATGTTGTTTCAGTATGTATATATATATATATATATATATATATATATATATATATATATATATATGTGTGTGTGTGTGTGTGTGTGTGTGTGTGTGTATGTATGTATGTACATGTATGTATTTATGTATGTATGTGTGTATGCATGTATGAATGTAAACACAGATGAGTGGGTGTTGTGTGAGTATTGTAGTTCCAGTTACAACTGCTTCATCTCTCCCCACAGGCCTCTAGAGCAGAGCTTTCAAAACTGTGTATCACGACCCATTAGTGTTTCGGCTGCAGTGTGAAGGTGTCACACGAACGTATTGCGTTTAGCATAACACTCATCACGCAACGCCGAACTGTCCGTGCTTATATTTGACAGAACACAAAGCAGTGCTAAGACCTTTTACAGCACTGTCGTGCTATGTTTAAAATGGTAACTTCGTTTTTGTGTCAGCTACTGATTTAATTGTTAAATACTGTATGTAAAACCAAATGCAGTGAAATCGACCCTCTCAGCTTTAAAATTAACATCAGGTTTGTTGGTAGTAGACTGAATTACTGTGTCGCGAAACCCTGCTTGTCTAAAACACGTGTCAGCATGGGGAAAAGTTTTGAAAGCTCTCCTTTAGAGCCCTCTGCCCGTAATAACTCTATCATCCGTCTAGTCAATGTTTAAGCCTTTCGAAGAAATCAGGGGTCATCAGTGAGTAGTTGAACCTGTCAACAAGGCTTACTGGTCAACAACCTTCTCCTTTCACGTTAGATAGTGAGACAGAAACCAGTGAGCTAACTTGTTTCAAGTACATGAAAAAGGTAAAGGTGAAGTCGGGAGATGTGAACCAGCGTCATTGAACACGGTTATAAACCATGAGTGATCTGCCACCAGTACGGACAGCTGATAATAAACTGTCCGCCTTTCCTGTGTCGTCGTCCGCACCCAACTCCGTAGCTACAGCGACGTTCCTCTATTTACCCCACAGTGTTAACTCTGGTACCCACTACCTAGAGACTGGGTGAACCCAGGGAACCGCCCAGTTTCGAACACGGGCCGTGGGCTGCAACGATTCGCAGATGGATTTGAAAGCGAGTCTCGTATCGACTGCGCTAATACGGCACCCGTTTCAAGTATAATGACATCGATAATTATAAATTTTTAATGATTATAATTTCCCTTTTCATAATTGCAGTCTGCAGTATTAGCATCTCATGGCTGAAAATCTAATACAGCTGGCTCAAAGATCTCCTTCCCACATACAATCGCGATCGCGTCGGCCTCGAGTGCTGGAGGTCTAGTGTTCAGACCCCGATGAAGGCTGGGATTTTGTCACTTGAACTTCTAGTAATTTCCTCTGGTCTCTGGATAGTAAGATCGGACGCCCGTGTGTATTGTTTCGCACGTAAAAGAATCCATTGGCCGTTGTAAATCAAAAAGTGTAGACAAACAGCGCTGCCCGGGCAAAATCTGCAGTTAACAATCTACTCAAAATATTTCAGGATCCTCGCCGCTGCTACGGAGTTCGTGCACTGCACTTTCTTCGGACTCATGCTTGAGTTAGAAGTACAACAGAGCACTTATGGGCTACTACCCTTGTGCCACGATGTTGGTCCGTTGTCTAAAACTAAATCTAAACCATCTACACAAACAAAAGTTCTTAAATGCAAGCAGTAATTGACTTAACTGGGGGGTGGGGGGGGGGGGTAAAAATTGAAAATTCGGTGACAGCTGACAAACTTAATGGGGAAAAGAGCCAGAAGAAGACCTATACATTTGTGTAAATCGGGGGCGGCGTTAGTTAGCGCAGTCGATATAGAGACTTGCTTTTAAATCCAGCTGTGAGACTCGCTGCAGCCACGGTCGGTGTTCGAAACCGGGCGGTTCTCGTTGTTCACCCAGCCTCTAGGAAATGGGTACCAGAGTTAACACTCTGGGGTAAATGGATGAACGTTGCTGTAGCTACAGAGTTGCGTGCGGACGGCGACACGAGCGTACAGTTTCTCATCAACTGTCCGTACTAGTGGCAGAGCACTTATGGTTTATAGCCGTGTGCAATGACGCTGGTTCACATCTCCCGACTTTACTTTTACTTTTTTTTTTTTTCAACTTCATTTGTGTAAACGCCTGGATGACGGTCACATGGCAGGGGCAGGGCAAGAACACTAAACCAATCCATGACTGCTGGTGACTGTGTGAGATGTCGATCGTTTCCGCCCACGTCAGGCCTATTTATCTTATGGCCTGTAGAGGCTTAGCAGCTGGCCCGTGGATCTTTGCCAATTGTATTGCATTAGTCTGTACTTTCTTATTAGCCGACCACAAACAGGGGAAATCCACAAGTCACGGGACAGTCTAATATTTCAGGGGGTGGTAGATTAAGCGAATAGTTTTGGTTAGTTAGGGTTAGGAAAACGCGCAAAAACCTTGGCCTTGGAAGAAACGTGCTGAAGCACAGAAAACAGAAAAACCGCACTTACCACATTCTAAAATACTGAACTGTCCCGTAACGTCATTCGTGGTTGGCTAAAAAGAAAGCGCCCATTAATCTTGTAACGCTGTGCCTGGAGCCTCTGGGCCGTGACGATCCACAGTTTTATACAGTTTGGCTCCTATTTAATTCGACTGAATAGCCCTTGCCTACGCACAGCGGCATAGACACTGGAAAAATAATAGCCCTTGCCTACGTGACAGCGGCAGGAACTGGGACTGATAGACCCTTGCCTGACCGCACAGCGGGCAGGAACTGGTGGGGAATAGGCCCGGCGTGATGTTGACCCACCTACGCAGAGCGGAATAGAACATGAAGAATAATACCAAAGACCATGTGACTCGCCTACCGATCGGAAGGTCGTGGGTTCGCTCCCTGGCGGAGCCGGACATTTTTTCAAAAGTGACCTTGGCTCCCGGGTTGACCAAGCCTTGAGTGGAAGTAAAGGTGGTCGGCGTGATGTTGACCACATCACCTGTCTTGTGCCGATTCGTCTATAAAAATATAGCCCGGTAGACCTAAAGAAGTGGAAAAGGGTCCTTTACTTTTCAACATGTGACTGTTTAACGTGACCTTGCCCAAACATGCCTTCCAGCAAACTTTGCAGGCTTAGTCACAACAATGGTGGTTCTTTGAACCTTCCTCTGTACACTGCTTCAGGAGTAGTGATGGCATTATTTACAGTGACGGGTGACGAACTCCTTATGGTCCGGGTTCACTCCCGGGGGTAGGCAGAAAAGCCACATTTCTCCCAGATTAACGGTACCTATAATGGAATCAAGGCCAAAGGGTTGCGATATCCATAGTACCGAGCCAAAGGGTTGACAACTCATGGTTTCTGGATACTTTAAAAAAAAAGTTTCTTTATCGCTGCACACGTACAATCTACCTGGAGTCCGCTGCTGGTTTGACACTAAACCTTATAATTGTCTTCACTAATGAAGGTACAAAGTTTAAACAGATGAATCTGTGACATAAATTATCCAGAAGATGTGGGGCGAGAAAAAAAAGGGAAAGACAGTATTGGGAGTGGAGAAGGAGAAGAAAGAAGGTAAGCATATGATGACTTATAATTACCTTCACTCATGAAGGTACAAAGTTTAAAGAAACGAATCAGTGACATACATTATCGAGAGGGTGGGGAAAGGGGGGACCGGGGGGGGGGTGTTAAGAGAAAAGATTATACATTCTAAATATAATCAAGATTAATTGACTATTGCATTTTTTGGGTATAAATACTGCTACATAAAAGTATTTCTAATTATCAACTGGCTGCTGAAAGTGTGACGCATTTGGGGGGGGGGGGTGGGGGGGGGCAATATTGGGAGTGGAGGAGGAGAAGAAAGAAGGTGAGCATATGATGATGATAAAGAATAGGAGAAGGGTGGTAATGGTAATGGTGATGATGATGATGATGGTGACGGTGATGATGATGATGATTACCACGAAATTACATACCATGTACTAATCGGACAAATGGAATTGTGTTAAGAAAAATAAATAAAGATCTTTATAACATATGACACTATCTGTATCACTAAATAAATCGGACATTCCAAGATAAAGATATACAAAACTGTGACATTCACTGAACACCCACCGCTGGTCACTAATGCTCTGGCGAGGGGGACACAAGTGACTTCACTTCATGGTTCACTAGTACTGAATAGGGGTCCATATACTGCGATGGCTGGTTCAATAGATTGTATTGTGTTATCTGAACTTTTCCCCTCACTGCTACGTAACTTTTCGTAATAGCCAGATTACCCGACAAGTGGCCAAAAGTAGAGCTGATAAGAGAAGTATAAAGAGACCCCGGCTACTTCCAAGTATTCTGACGATCTACTGTGGCAGCCAGATCAGGCCTTAAAACATACAACAAGCAGGTAGGAGACATTCTGCCTGCAGACATGAAAGCAGCTATAGGTGTTTTCGCCGTCCTGTGCTTGGGCCTTGTGGTGGCTGTTGACCATAACAAAAAACCGAGGCACGTCCATATTGCATATGGCGGTAAGTTTGATTTTATTGAATATTCTAACAATATTTTAAACAAAATGCAGTCACCTTTTGTACTTTGTATTTCTTCGTTCGAACCAATCGCATAAACGTTAAAAACAATCACCGGAATGTGGCAAGCATTTGAGCAAACATTTATTATTATTAATTATAATTACAATCCATTACGCTATTTTTATGCCCTACCTTCGGTCGTTTTAGACGAAACCGGATTTTTTCCCCTTTAAGTAATTTTAGTGTATACTTATTTTTGAATTATGTTATTTCCTTTTTTAATTCGTAAAAGGCGTCAAATTGTAGGACTGTTGTTTTTAAGAAGTCCAAGACGAGAACAGTGTCAGTTCACAAACCAAAATTTTAAAGAAACAGTCGCCATTTCTGGGTCACATGTTAAGAAGAGACACTTGGCAACAGCTTCTGAAAACTGGACAAAGGTAGAGGAAGACCACGAGAAAAGTTTCTTTGTAGCCTTTTGGCGTGGTACCAGAAGGCTTCAGTACACGAACTGAAAGATTATATTCTTCTTCTTCTTCTGCGTTCGACATCAGTCATGCTACACATTGAGTCCCGTCTGGGTCAAAAATAGGATTGTGCGTTTAAGGTCGCCACCGGTCCCCCGTAGCTTCTCTCGCAATGTGGATCCCGAGAAGAAAGATTATATATACAGGCAGAGCAATCTTAACACCATCATGGGCCCTTGGAAAACCAGTGTAATGGGGCCCCTACGACAGTCACTCACAGGAAAGAAATGTTTATCTATGGCAAGTTACTTGACATAAGCAGATTATTATGGGGATCTCTCCGCTGGTGGAGCACCTGAGCAAGTGCCCAGTTGGCACATTCGATACGACGGTCCTGAATACAGGTACAATTATCAACTTGAACTTTCCGTTTCCTTGAGTCAGTGAGGTGGTATCTCCAAATGTGAGGTTGATAGCAATGAAACCCAACACTGTCTCTTCTCCCTTGAGATGCAGACTGCCAGCAAGGGAGGTAATGTAAACAAAACAAAAGTCTTCTTCTTCTTAAAGTCAGTGCCGTGTCGTGTTGGTAGTCATGTTTTTCTGCGACCTTTTATCTCGTGTACTTTCAATTAAATTATCCTCCTTGCCATGATGTCAAATTGCCTAGCATGTATTCTCTCTATCTCCCTCTGCCTCTCTTTCACTCTATCTTTATTTTTGTTACGATGTACTCCAGTTTTCTACTTCTCATCATATAACCAAAGCCCAAATAACGTAGAATGTCTCTTTCTGATGTGGGCAATCAGTTCTCTTCTTTAGTCAATTTCTTTCAAGACGTCTTGATGACTCTATCTCCAGTGTAGTTTCATCATTCGTCTATAAAACCCAATCTCTGCGGCTTCCAAATAATTCTCCACTGAAAAACAAAACAATAACCAAATAAAAAGCCTAATACTGACAATTTACCTCTACAGAGGATATATCAAAGATGATGATAACATGGAGCACCCTACAAGACACCTCCTCCTACGTTCTGTATGTCCTGAACTCGACGAATGTACCCAAAGCGGAGAAAGGCGTCAGCACCAAATTCACTGATGGTGGAGCTGAACAACGTGTCCAGTATATTCACAGAGTCCAGCTTAAAAATTTAAAAGACAATGCCACATACTGTAAGTAATTTAATATAAATGTTTCGTTGTAAGTACTTCTATTGCGTTCACATTTAAAATGACGGCCGACACGTGATGTTGTGGTTTACAGATAGGCTGAGATATATGCACCCTTAGGCTGAACACATCCCACTTCAGTTAATCCCTAAGTAAATCGTCGGGATTACTCATGCCAGTCACCCCATCTCGTCAGCGGCAAAAATTCGTAGCGGTTCCAACAGGCTGTACTATGTTGTTGGAGTGTTATGGAATGTCTTCCTTTGCAGTCTATATACAGCATGCCGACAAGTGGCCCGGGTTCGATCGACGAGGTCTACACAACTGTCTCTCAGACGAAAGTGCGCAGCTATATTTTCGCAACTCTCCTTTTTGTGAACGACTGTCGTTTCTGGAATGTGTTGTTGTGAGTCGGTCTCAGGCGCCTGTGTGCAAGGAAGAAGTACTGCAGAATGAAGCACCGAAGGCGCGACGGTTCATGAGTATCGAATCATTGATGTTTTTGTAATTGCCCGCTGGTTGGCGACGACTGTCGTCGGTGGTGGATATGCTTAAAACGGTCAAAATAAGGAACGCATGACACTCCTAGATAATATGAATGTTTCCGGAAATGGCCGACTAGATGGGGCGACTTTCGTGAGTTGTATCTAATGGTCTTTTCGAAATGAATGTTGAAGTGGCTTGGAGGTGAGATGGGTCTATCCCCCCCCCCACCAACCATCCACCAATGGGACCTGGGAACTCTACCGGGGATGTCTTGTGTACACAAAGAACCCTTCCATGCCATTAATGCACTAAGCATGTGGCGATGGACCCATTTACATACTAGTTAACAATAAATGAGTGTGGGTACTTTGATTTTATACGACATCTCGTCGGCTTCCAGATTTGATAGGGCAATCCCCAGAATGTCCCATAGAATAGGGGGTGTGGATTAGGCTTATTAGTAGTCGCTATTCATTTAACACTAGCCCTAAACCTACTCCCCCCCCCCCCCACACACACACACACATACAATAATATGGTACTGTCCAGGGAAACCCCTAGGAATCCTTAGGAATTCCCTACGAAATTTCGAAGCCGAAGAAACGTGGTCGTATACGATTAACGTACTTGAGTATGTAGTAAATACCACGCTGGCCAGCTTAACTTCCTGGACATTTCCTTGTGCCCACTTCTAACGCCCTTCCCCAAAGACTGAAGCCTAGAAGGTTAACAGCCAGCAAGTTCAGTTGTCACTTTTCTGATGGAACCTCACATAGGCAAAACCCAAAAAGAAAGAATCAAATATTTCCGTGTACAACACAGTTATGCTGAGAAACCCGGTGACTACTTGTTATTCATATCGATAACCTAACACACTGATCTGACAAATGCATGCTCCTTCGTCCCTTGCAGCAGCTATTTTAGTGTCTCCTAGTTGAGTTGAGTTAATTCAAAAACCGACATCACAGCACTCGGGGCATTCCCATAAGCGCCCCGTCCCCATCTTCAGCAGCCAGTGAAGAGTTTCGATACTAATGGTACCAGTAGTATTTTGATTAAACGTCCGTCTTGCATTTCCTCTGAGCCTCGAGCATCTGCCAGAACCTCTCATCACTCCCCCCTGCATCAATTTTACCAGACAGTGGTGATCCATCTGCTCCTCCGAAGTGTACACGCTCTCCCACAAGGTACTAACCACGTCTGCCTTATCATATATCAGTATTCCACCAAGTTGTGCAGAGCCAGCCAGTCTGTCTGCCTGTTCATTTCTCAACACACCAGCGGTTCCTGGTGAAAAAAAATCCAGACAATACTCCTCACCCGTGTCCTCCGCAGTGAAGCTTGCCACTCTGCACGAAGCATGCCTGTCCTCAGCATGCTTTCTGAGTCGGTTACAATTACATGTGTCTGTGTGTGTGTGTGTGTCCTAGCAGGTGTTAACGAACATATAACCCCCAAAGTAAAGTAGCCTTTTCCATGCTTTCATGCTTTTTGGGATAGACCATTCGGCACATCTTTGGCTATGTAGCTTATATCACGACGGCCACCTTTATTTTCCCAGGACTTTACCTGGTACCCATTAATATTGAATCGGCCTGGGAGTCAATGTCATTTTTTAAGGGGGAGAAATGAGTCCCCCGGCTCCACTGGGATTTTAACCGGCGACCTTGTGTCCTTCAGGCTAGCATCTAGCCACCTCACCACAGCGAATCTCATATAACCCGGTGATTACGAAGTAAGCACTGGTTCCTGGTACGCATTTTAGGCATGGGTGTATCTAGGAGCCCTATGTCAAATATAAAACCCTTCTCAATGCAAATTTGAATCCATGACTTTCACACCGGCAGGCATGAATCTAACACTTGCGCTATATTACTCCCGTTAGGTTAGTTGCTTATCCTTTACAGGACGTTGCAGAACCAACCCCAACAGCCCCTGGCCGTTGTGTGGTTTTCCTAGACAATTAACGTCCAGTAGCTTGCTATTGCTTCCTGGACGGTCGGCTTTTTTGATAGCACTGTCGAAACCAACGCAAGGCGCATGGCCCGCAGTTTGGATCGAACCCGGCATCTCGGTATTTCGAAGCGTTCGCATCGACTTAGCCACAGAGCCGACATTACTCCCGTTACGCACATATTTTATACGCCAGTTTTCCTCCGTGTTCATTTTCCGCAGAATTTTACTTTCTTTCGGTTGCCTTGGTGAAACACATTGCGACCGGGTCGCCCATTGGCTGGCCGCTGAGGACAGGATTTGGGTATGTCTCTCTTGATTGCTTCAACACTGCGGGAGTCCTTTCCATTAAGGGGTAGTTAGAAAAACATAATATTTCCCAGATTGACGGATTCTGTCATGGAATCGAGGCCGAAGGGTTGCGATAGTTATGGTACCGAGCCAAAGCGTTTACAGTTCATGGTTTCTAACAGGCGGACAGACTGGCTGGCTCTGCATTTATTTGGTGGAATACTGCTACATGATAGGGCAGACGTAGTTAGTGCATTGTGGGAGAGCGTGTACAATTCAGAGGAGCAGATGGATCACCACAGTCTGGTAAGATTGATGCAGTTGGGGGTGACGAGAGGTTCTGGCTGAAGCTCGAGGCTTAGAGGAAAGGCAAGACGGACGTTTAATCAGAAAGCTACTGGCACCATTGGTATCGGAACTCTTCGCTGGCTGCTGAAGATGGGGAGGGAACGCTTATGTGAATGCTTCGAGTGCTGTGATGTCGGTTCTTGAATCAAATCAAATCAGTTCATGGTTTCTAGCTCAATCTTAAAAAAAAAGAATATGGTGCACATAAAACTAGTCACAATTATAACCGAAAGCTCACCCCTCTCCCACCCCTCTCCTCTCCCTCCTCGGGGATGCTGATTGACCGTAAAGACTTTTTTTAAGCGAAGAAAGGAAGCAAGCCTTGGTGAATCTCTCGAGTTTACTAATGTGGCTGCTGCGCCTTTTTTTTTGTCGGCGTCTGCGACTTAGGCATTGCGAACGAGCCTAGTAATGCATAGGTATCGGGTTCAATCCCAGCTGCAAACGATTTGGCAACAGACCGCCCTGTGTTGGTTTCGACAGTGTTATCGAGAGCCGACCGTTTTGTAGCCATGGCAAACCAATGAACGTAATACTGCTTGGTAAAATCACAAACTCCCAAACAAATGCTGGGGCTGGTTCTACAATGTCCGTTAATTGTGCCCGTAAACCGAACCGGACAGTCCGCGAAATGAGCCGAAGGCTTCCAGATTGTGAGATAATCGGCTTGACCCCTTCTCCAAGGAGACCCCCCCCCCCCTCCCCTCACCCCTCCCCCCTCCCACATAACCCCAGTTAAATCCATCACTGTTTATTCGAAGCCGGGTCTCTAGAATAAAAGCTCAGAATTATTAACTGCAAGCCCAACCCCCCCCCCCCCCCACCACCATATTGTAAAACAAAAGATCCCTTTTCACGCCTTAGGCCCATCGGGCATATGGGAAGAGCATCTCATATTTTTACAGACCAAACGGCACTAGGTGGGTAATGTGGTTAGCATTACGCCAGCCGTCTTTACTTCCACAGGACAGCCATCCTGCTGAGTCGACCTGCGACGCCTCATACCATGATAAAAAAATCCATGCAGCTAGCAGAGGGTTTCCATCGCGGTACGTTGGAATTACGAGTCGGACTCGCAACGCCTAAGTCACTGACGCCGCATTGTAACACAAAGACAAGATGTAAATAAACACTACTGTTAATATTTCTAAAGAATATTAGATTAAAGAGGTATGTACAATTACGAGTAGGCCTATTATAACGACCCGTTTATGCACAGTAATTTTACTTTAGCCATGATGCCCCTGGAATCAATTATTGAGTTGTGGGTTGCTTTGTTTCTGTTAATATTTATTCTTCTGACAATAAAGATTACCTAGTTGGCAGTGCTGAAGGCTGGTCGGTACAGTTCAGCTTCAAGACTATGCCAGCAGGAGAAGATTGGAACCCTAGCCTTGCTGTGTTTGGAGACTTGGGCAGTGACAATGCGCAGTCTTTGCCACGGTTACAGTCAGACATCGAAGCTAACATGTATGACGCACTAATTCATGTGGGTAAGTAGCACCACTTTACTAGGTTATTGTTTGTATACTATTGCAGAGGGATAGGAGATATTTAAGTTTGTTTGTTGTTTGTTTTAGTATCCAGAAGCCATGAGTTGTTAACCCTTAAGCTCGGTATTATGGATATCGCAACCTTTCGGCCTTGATTCATTGTAAATACCGTAAATCTGGAAGAAAATATGGCTTTTCTGCCTACCCCCGGGATTGAACCCGGACCACAAGGAGTTCGTCACCCGGTCTCCGCGCAATCCGGTTTAGCCAACTACGATAGAGAGCCGGGCGAGATATTTAAGTCGGCCTCTACTGCGAAAAAAAAAAAAAGATCTGTGTTAAAGTTAAAGTCGAGAAGATCACCTTCATTGCACGGGGTTTTATCATACATGGCTTGTCTCTCTGCAAAACTGCTAGCCACCAAACGAGAGCATAAGAAGAAAAAGAAGATATTGTCATTAATAGTGATTACAGTATTCAGTAAATTTGTGGACCGCTGTTATAAATCACAAAATTATTATGATTTGCAATTTATTCACCCAATCACTTTTTCTACATTACGTTAGATTGTGTTCATCGTTAAATATTTAATTATTCCATCAACTAGCAGATATTCCTAACTCATTTTCTTCCCAGAAAGTTGTTACTTAAAGTAATATAAGTTTGGTTTAAAATAATAAAATTGTCAGCCAGGAAAGGAAAGGAGTTAAAGTAACAACTGGAACAGTGTGTGTCATTGGAGTAACTGGATATAGGGAACTATAAAGGACCTGCAACTGACATTAGCATATGAAACCGAACGCTAAAAAAAAAAAAAAACAGAAGAACAAAAAGGCATACCCTGAGACGAAATAAGCAATGAATTACACAACAAGCACTGAAATGGAAAAACAATGGTCTGAGAAAAAAAAAAGAGGAGACCAAGGGAAACATTAATACGAGAGGCTAGACATGCTGTGCTGAACTCCATGTCAGAAATCGAGAGAGTCGTGTGCAATAGAGCCGAGTGGAGGAATCGAATGCGAGCCATATGTGATGTCTACCGGCACATAAAGAATGATGATGATACTGACAGATGCTTGCTCAGTGCTGTAAGCACAAACAACAACAACAACAGCCAACCTAATTCAACAAACTTAAATAGATGCTGAAAATAAAAATTGGCCATTTGACAAAGCAGACTGTTCTCCAGTTGATCATATCAAGGAAAGATATATAACCAAACGAAAAGTATATCAGCAAGCTTCAGCATATAATTAAAAAAAAACGTGAATGTTGCGGTTATGGAGCCTTCTTCAGCACATACATATAATAGACAATACTACACAAATACACAATATCACTTATCTTTGTATCTCGTGGCAACCGAATCGATGTCAAGACAATCATCCACTGCCAGGGAGAAGGGGGGAGGGGGAGAAGACGATAGGAAATGTATAAACAAATAAATGAGAATTTCTATATACGGTTAGACGGGATGGGCCAAGAGCATATAAACATTTCCTAGCGCCCCCCACCCCCCTTCCACCCAACATGTTTCTGGGTTGGCGCAGTCAAGATTCTTGAACCCCCAGATTCCGTGGCTAGTGAGTACTTCATCGCTAAGCCAGGAGAGTCTCTACAAAAGCTTGATTCTGATAGACGAAATCCCTTTCTTTACCTGACTTAAACAGTCTTAACGCTAGTGCATGGTACTTTGAAATGCATTCTTCCCTAGAATTCTGAAGCCAGTGACATCAACCATATGTATACTTCTACTATTTAAAATAAGCTAAAAATACGACTGATGGCCTCATTTTCAATTACCTCAGAAAAGATTGAGAACCCAGAAAAGCAATCTTTGAAAATTACACGATCCTAATTGTTGTTTTTAATTTTCTATGTTTCAGGTGACCTTGCATATAACCTTGATGCGGTAAGTCACTTAATCTCTCATTAAGGCCCCATTTAGAGACAGTTAGTTAATGTTTTTCGGACATGTTATGAGAAAAAATGGACTCAGAGCTTAGTAATGGCTGGCATAATTGATGGAAAGAGAGCAAGTGGAAGGCAAAGAGATAAATACATAAATGTTTTTTTTTTTTTTTAATTTAGATGGGCAAGACAAGAGCACTGACCTAGTACATGATTTTGGGTATCGTGTGGTGAAATATGACAGCCGATGCTTATCAGCAGAGCAAATGAAGATGAGGATCATATGTTGTAAGATTAACATATACTAGCCATATTTATATAGTCTCTGTTTATGTGTCTTCTTTTTCTTCACTTCCTTTTTTACTGCCTCAGGTGTTGAGGGAGATATACAATTCTGCTCTTTGCTCTTCTGGCCGCTTCAACCATAGACAAATGGTGCTGTCTTAGAGTTTCTCTGGTGTTATCTTTCCTTCTTGTTCTTGGTCTACCTTGTGCTTTACTTTCCTCTCCTCTTTGGTGTTGTGTTGCATGGCATTGTTGTCTCTGTTAGCAGTCGTTTATTTCAGCTAACTTATTTTGATTGTATTTCAGAATAATGGAAGAGTGGGAGACACATTTATGCAGCAAATACAAGTTCTGGCAGCAAATGTCCCTTACATGACCTGTGTTGGCAATCATGAATATGCATAGTAAGTTCCATTCTTCCTTCTCCCACAGCCTAGAGTTATCTGCGATTGCTACTCTTTGCTGCACCCTCACTTGTTTGTCTTGTCACCTGTTTCTGTCGAAAACAAGGGCTCTTTCACAGAAAATATTAGAGTCCCTAAAACATTTTCTATGGAGTGTTTCAAGTGGCCTCATACTAATTTAAGTGTGTAATAATAAAAAATAATAATTATATATTTTAACAAAGGCTCAGACCCCTTAGGTCGACCCTCTAGAAAGGCTGCAAGGGTTGAGACTCCCCCCCCCCCCCCCTTTTCAAGCCCAACCCTAAATATTTTCTTTGTGCATTCACCCTTCTCCCTCCAACTTTTACCCGCACTGGACAACATCAGCTTTTCAGTAAACAGATTTTTGTGGGTCTGATTTTTCAAGGTATCATTATACAGAAATAGAAGTGATCATCTTTGAAATAACTGACACATCTTTAGATGTAATCGTACATTATGAAAATCTAAGCTGACACAATCATACTTGATTTATTTATCTACAAATAGACTTATCAGATTTATATCTATGATTTAAAAAAAGTTTAAACATTAAATGAATTTATGGTTGTTTTTAAAAAAATGAAAAAAATAAATTTTAAACTTCTTCCACAGCAATTTCTCCAACTATAAAGCCAGATTTAGCATGCCAAATGACAATGGAAAGATGTATTACAGCTTTAACATGGGACCTGCTCACTTTATTTCCATTTCAACTGAATATTTGTACTTCACCAATTATGGATATGAGCAAATATTTAACCAGTATGAATGGCTGAAACAAGATCTCATGGTAAGGAAAATTTTGAGTACATATTATTGATTAATGAAATGAAAAGTATTGCACTACTGGCTGATTTATATGTGTTTAGTCACTCTTCATCAACATCATGTCCTGCCATTAAATATCACACAGGGTCACATTCTAGTCCTCAATTCCGTTTCTTCTTCTTCGGGTTCACCAGCTGTAAACTCTGGTGGAAAGTTCTGGTTGTTTGACCACTTCTGGACTGCAGTCCTGTTCCAGAACCTGAGTGTTGCATGTGCATCCGTTTGACATATCTGACTCATTTGTATGCAGACTGCTGGTTCCTTGCCGCTCAGGCAGATGCACTCCGACTTCAAAGGAAGCTCTAAAGTAGTCGACTCTTACGACAGGCTTTTGGGTAGACAGTGGGTCTCTTCTTGTTTTCCCCACAATAGGGCCCCGGAACCCACGCGGGGTAGTCATCAATTCTGCTGCGTTCTGTTAACTCCTTTCAATAGCATGCTCAGCAGTGTTCATTTTAACCTTTCTCTTGGACCTCCTCGTTTCCTCAGTTTATTTGTTTCCAACGCCTGTTTGGTGATTCTCTGCTCGAATCTTCTCAAGATGTGCCCAGTATAGCGCCACCTTTGTTGTCTTTTAACTGTTGATACCAGAGATTGCGAAGACATTTCTCTTATTCCCTCACCTTTCTTGAATTTGTCCCATTTCTTTTTCTTCTTCTTTGCGTTCACTGTCGTTAATGCCAGTGTAAAGTTCTGGGTGTTCGTCCACCTCCGGAGTTTAGTTTTCTTTTAGAACCTGAGTATTGCATGCACGTCCGTTTCACACATATGGCTTATGGTTATGCAGACTCTTGGTTCCTTGGCTCTTGGGCAGATATTTTCCGACTTCAAATGATTCCATTCAATATTCATTATTTTTCTCAGATATTTGTTTTTAACTGTATGTAAATGACATTTGTAGTTCTGCAACTTTCACTTGCATACATTAACATTAAAACAACCTTCGAATTTAAAACAGGTAACTTGATTGAAAACTATACAATTTAGTTTCATTGTTAATTCATGTTTCAATTCTTAATTCTTAACAATAACACATAATATTGAATGTGTGTGTGTCTTTTTTTATTCAAACCCCTCACTGGATTTGCGCATCATCTCTGTGTTGTATTTGACTTTCTTTTACAACCCAGGAGGCCAACAAAGCTGAGAACAGACAAAAGAGACCCTGGATTATTGTTTTTGGTCATCGTCCCATGTACTGTTCCAACAATGATGGCGATGACTGCACAAAATACAGCAGCGCGGTAAGAATGTAGTTGTTAAAAGGCCATTTTCCACAGTTTATTGAGTATATGATGGTAGACCTATGTTTTATTGATCAGCTGGCACTCGGCAGGTGATGTGGTCAACTTACCAGGAGTAGAGCATCCCTAGGAGCCAAGGTCATTTTTTTTTAAAAGTCGAATCGATACAGATTTGAACCCCATGGACCCAAAGCGAGTTCTAGTTGCTATGCAATGGAGGTCCCCAAGTACTGTATCTAGTTCTATATCATGTATGTTCAAATATGGAAATGAACAGTTAGGCAAACCTACTGGATTATTTCATGCTATCAGCGCATTGAAAATATGGTAGTAGAAATTTTTGTTTTGTTTTTTGGTTACACTGAACAAGAGGTAGACTTATGTACATATCACTGTGATGGTACTAATTTGCAAGAATTCATTCTAAAGATGCTGAACACAGGATAGTAGAAGCCAGAGGAGCCGCCACAATAACATCTTTGAGAGAGGGAGAGGGGGCGCCTAAGCCTTGTTTAAGTGCACAACAATAATAGCAGTAATATATAATAATGCACTGAATGGGAAATAAATATAGTCATATATCCGAAGTAATATGAAATTTATAAATAAATTCTTGAAAAAAGAACGTCTTTAAATTTGTCCCCCCCCCCCCTCCCCAACCCCTAGAGTGGGTGAGGGAAGGGAGCTTAGCTCCCTTGCATATTTTCTGAGGGGAGGGGGTGTTCTCCAGTGCTGCTAAACATTATTGGGGCTGCTTTGTCCTCCATTTTCCCTGAAAAAACGAAGAGGGGCTTGAGCTTCCATGTTTTGGCACCCCTGATGGGGATTTAACTACCGCTAGACTTCGATGAACTTTACAATAGTGATTCTTAGTTGGTTAGTTGGTATGGTTAGGTTAATAAAAGTGATTTATTGTGTTTCAAAACGTATTTAGTATCAATGTAGGTGAAAGCCTGTTTTGTAAGAAGTAATTTAGGTTAAAGTAACGTTAATCTCCCCAAACAGAGTAGGTCACTTTCATTCAGAAGTTTGTTATGCTTGTTGACTTTCCTGAAGGTTACGGGTGTGTCCCGCTCTGTTGTTTGCTTTCTGTATTGTCTTGCATTTACGTTTTTATTCGGAGAAAGAGAATGCATGTGACATAGCAGCACTCTCTGTGGTGGTGGGGGGGGGGGGGGGGGTTTAAAGTGTTAAAAGCACTAACATGCTGAAATATACAACACACGATATCAACCGCATTGCGGAACACCCTGTAATCTTGTGCCAAGGTGACAGGTTCAGGAACTACCAATCAAAAGTGAGCTAGTGTGTATATAGGCGGGACATGGGGAGATAAATGTTACGTGAACCGTCATTTAAAATTGATATAAATGTGCTAATAATAAGATACCTGTTTTGTAAAAGGTTCGGAAGGGAATTCCTTCACACAATGTGTCTGGACTGGAAGATCTGTTCTATGAACAGGGTGTTGATGTTGCAATCTGGGCCCATGAGCATTCATATGAAAGACTATGGCCCATCTACAATGAGCAGGTAAAATCTAACTCACTGATGTGTTCATTGTGTGAAAGTTTATACATTTGTTAATTTCCTTTAAAATCTCAGTCAGCTAAACAGTTCTAAATATGCGTTAAGGAAGGTCAGAACTCTTCACTTACTTATTTAGTCGATTCTTTTGAACCCTAGGGTGTAGAAGTTTGCCAGAGAGATCGCCAGTCTTCTCTGTAGCAGTTTTCTTTTTAGCTTTGTTCCACTCCAGCCGTCTGCCGGAAGGACAGTACTCACCACTGGCAATTACTGTATCCTTGTTAATTAATACTTGTCCGACCATTTTGTACTCCTTCCTGTGATCCAACTATCACCTCAGTGTCTCCACGCTCACCACACCCAGTTAGCGTTGACTCGCATATCTGTCATATGGGTCTGGATGGATGGATATCTTCTTTCTTCACCCGTTAATCATTGTTGTTTTTTTTTCTCGCATGCTTGTCCTAATTTAATAGCCATTTCCAAAAGCTGTTCGTCTTCTCCGACTCCTTTGCCGCAATGATTCTGTAACCTATAATATAACATATGATATGTAATAAAATGAGGTTGTCGTGACATTAATTAGGGGATTAATAGGGTTTTTGTTAATGATTTTTTTTACCTGTGTAGGTTCAGGTACCAGGGCCCCATTGGGAAAGAAAAAAAGGGGGTGTGGTATACCCTATGCCTAACTAATAAGAAGGTGAATTATTAGGGACTTGTGTAAATCGACATATTGGGTCAACAGGGGCAGATACTGCAGTCTAGCTGTAAACCACAACACAAGGTACCAACCACCATTTTAAGGGTGAACACGGAAGAATGACTCTTAAACTCCCTGTCTGGGTTCCAGGGCTTTAATGTGGGGGGAAACAATAGACCCACTGCCAACAAGCCAATCGTAAGAGTCGATTAACTCGAGGCTTCCTTCAAAGTACAATTAAGTCAGATCAGTTGAACGGATGTGCACACAACACTCAGGTTCTGGAAAAGACTAAAGTTCAGAGGTGGATAAACAATCAAAACTTTCCACTGGAGTTTACAGTCAGTGAAAGAGAAGAAAAAAAGAAGAATTACTCTAACAAAATAGGTCATGTCTTGTTTATCTCCTGTATGTTATAATCGAAATCTGTTTGCCTGTTCAGTGAGAATTGTGAGTGTTAGCAATGTCCAACAGTAGACCTTAAGGCTTGTCTATATGAAAAAAAATGTTTCGTCCTTTTTGAAGCCCCACCCTGGCTTTTGCCAGGGGCCGCAATATAGGCAGGCCATAAATATGGCCAAATGTCTGAACGCGGTTTCTGGGACCTCTCCACGGCGATCCTCATCCGCATGGTGGCACTTTGTGTCATCGGGTGTTTATCGCTTGTGTGATGTCCTAGTGGGGTAGAAAGTCACTCACTCACACCTTAAGGCTGCTACCCTGGAAAACTGGAATAACTTATCAGTCAGCAGGTCCTATGCAGAACGTCGCTCTCATCACGGCGAGACCTTGAAGTATCTCGTTCTTTAGCCGATTCTCCAGCCCATGTGTGCTTTTATAGCCAGTACCTCTTCAGTGTCTTGTATCCTTCTTCATGGACGCTAGCTTCTGCTTAACTTTCCAGAAACTGCACCACCCCCAACACCGTTCTCTCCAGGCTACCAATGCGCCTATAATGACCTAAACACCTAATCTTTCGAGACAGGATGCTGTTTTCTCCATGATATTTAGTTCATTCGGGATGTTGGTGTTTTTCTTTTTCGCAATCTACGGTATTCTAAGAATGTGTCCATGGCATAACATAAACAACATAAGCTATATTTATAACGTATGATATACAGAAAACTTATATCAGAAGGCCGGTAGTCTTTATAAAACTATCGTGCAGTCCATATCTTCTCGTGTACCATACAGCTTTGGTATATTTTTGGCATCCGTATTATCTACAGGTGAGAAATGGAAGTTATGATCAACCTTACAAAAACCCTGGAGGCATTGTCCACGTCATTACTGGCTCCGCTGTAAGTTGAATATGTCCGGTTGTGTTGTTAATTTCTAAATGTTAAAACCTGTATTGGTTATTGTTTCCTTTTAATTTTTTTTTTAGAATTTTATTGTGAAGGTTACAAGTGTCAGTTTCTTCCTGTCTTGAATCTTTAGAAAAAGTACTCTTTTTAAGGATTTTATTAATGAAATAGTTATAGTTAAGGTAAAACGTAACCTATGTTCCATGCTCTCAAAGGATCAGAGACATATATTTAAGGTTAATATTCCCATATGTAATTATCAAAAATGGAAATACTTTGTTCATATCAAATACAAAAATGGTTTGGAGAGATCTGTAAATGAGGGTTATAGTTCCTGTTAGAAGAGACAGAATCAGCCTGCACTTTAATGAACACAAGTTATGGAGCACAACCTAGACCCATAGTGGCCCATGGAGTCCTGACATGTGACCTGTATTGTACTCATGATTTTTCTATGCTGGAGCTCGGGCATCTGGCCAGTGACAATCCCCATTTGAACAATTTTGGCCTTTAAGTAAACTTAGTTGAATAGACCTGCCCTATGCCTTAGGCCTAGGATCAGGAAGACGAAAAACATCGAAATTCTGAACAAGTTGAAGATCAAGGAGAACTGGCTCATAAACAGCATCCTGTCCTGAAAGTTTAAGTATTTTGGCCATATCAAGCGTCATGCTGGCTTGGAAAAGATACATAGATCATTATGGTTAGGAGAGATTTGTATAGCTAGGAGGGACCAAGGGATTTGTTTGACACTTTACACTAAGAGGAAAGGATAAGACGGACATATGATCACATTTCTGCTGGCATCATCGAAATTAAAACTCTTCTTCGCTGGATACTGAAAACGCAGACAGAACGCTTATTGGAATGTCCTAAGTCCTTAGATGTCAGTTCTCAGCTTAACACTTTGTTGGTGTCAACATTTCAGGCTGCAACCCCTAGGGTAGGATGGGAGGGTGGTATTTAAGCCAAAATAACTATTGTGAATCATATGAGCGTTTCTTTTCAGGGTTGCAGTGAAGGTGTTGAATATTTTGTCAAAGATCCACCAGCATGGTCAGCGTTCCGCAACAGTGAATACGGATACATGCGAATGAAGTTCCTCAACAGGACTCATTTATACATGGAGCAAGTGTCAGATGATCAGGTAAGATATTGTCATATGTGTCAGATGATCAGGTAACATATTGTATTAGATGCCAGATGATGAGGTAATATATTGTCATAGGTGTCCGAATCTGGGAGTTCTGGATCTCCAACCCACTTAGCATAATATTTTACGATGTCCACATATTTGGTCTATTAATATTTAAATTCTACTTATCCATTCATTGCAGGATGGTGAGATCATAGACAAGTTCACAGTTATAAAGGAACAGTATGAACAACACAAGAATCCAATGAAATATTACGGAGGGCTTTAATCTGAATAAGCCTAGCTACTAGCATAAATGTGAAAGAACGATAAGTTTGTTACAGTTATCATCCTGCTGTTTTGGTAATTATCTTGCTGCAGCCTAGAATCATTGTGTTTAAAGCTTTGAATTATTTGATTACAGCTTGCAATTGTTTGATTACAGATTTCAGTCATTTGGTTACAGCTTAGATTTATTTGGAATTTTTTGGTTACAACTTTGAATTGTTGCAGTATTTAAGATTTTGGGAGTTTTGCATAGGAATTTATCATTACCATGACAATGAATCATGGGTGCAGATTAAAAAGTGTCAACATTTTTATAGTGTTTTCACCATCTGTATGGGCATTCAAAGCTGTTGGAAGAATTCAGAGGGTCTCTAGTGTAAAATTCTGGCCTGTCATTAATCAAATCACCGGGCAAGTGCTGACTGATTTATAAAAACATAAGAGTCTAAGCTAGTGTTGTGTGCCTGGTAAACATTGATGTGAATGGAGCACTTAACTTTTTTTTTTCATGTAAAACTGTTTTATTTGTGTATCTTAGTGTAATATTATGTCGTTGTATATTACAGCCACATAATATACCACTCTTGCGTCATTGATATTAATTCTGTATATCCTATTTTTTAAAGCTAAGCTGTACATGTTTTTCACTAAGTAAATACCCAAATAAACTGCAAAAATTTACTAGTTTTAGAGGGGTACTAAAAAACATAATGTTCCAACAGGTACTTAATAAACCTGAAATTACAATGCAGCTTTCAATCATTCAATGTTTCATCTGGTTAAAAGAAAACCCCCTCCAAAAAATACCACGTGAAACTAATTTACATAAAATCCTTTTGTATTAGAAAAGGTTTAATCAGATTAGAAGATAATTATATTATTAAGAAGTGATTCAACAATATAACGACTAGTTCAATGTTGTTTTTGGTGAAATTATTATTTATCCACAGTCTGAAATAATTTATGAAAATTAAAAGTCATGCAACTATATTGTTGTTAGTTGTTTTATTACTGATTTCCTATTATTGAATATATATCAATGAATACTTTACATGTTGTGAAATTATTTATTGTTAGGCAGATATTATTTAGAAGTGGCAGAGATGTGGTTTTGTAGCATCTCTTCTTCTTTGCGTTCAGTGGCTGTAAATCTGGGGTAGGTGGACAGTTCTGGTTCGTCCCCTTCTGTTCTGCAGCCATGTTTCAAAACCTTGGTATTGCGTGTGCATCCGTTTAACAGATCTGACACATTTGTGTGCAGAATGTTGGTTCCTTGTCTCTCAGGCAGATGCACTCTGACTTCGAAGGAAGCTCCCAAAAAGTCGACTCTTAGGACATGCCCTTGGGTAGTCAGTGGGTCTATTCTTGTTTTCCCTATAATAGGGCCCCAGAACCCACACAGGGAGTTTTGTGGGTGAATGATGAGAATACCCTGAACAGATAAAAGAGTCAAGAAGGTGTACTGAAAGAAAAGACTCATGAGGAGAACTGATTGCCCACATCAGGAGACAATTCTACATTATTTGGTGATGTCATCAGATACAAAAAAACTGGCAGTGGGAAAGTTGGAAGGGAAAAGAAGGAACCAGAGAGAGATACAGAGAGAAGATGAATAGTTTGACATCATGGCATAAAAGATAATCTGCATCAAAACTGACTGAAAAATACTGAAGTTTGGGGGCAGAAATGGCTAGTAAAACCCTACAGCATGGGACCATAAGAAGAAGATTACATGGACAATTTGTAATAATTTCTAGGCTTCATCTTCAAAGTTTCTCCGTGTGGGTTCTGAGGCCCCATAGTGGGCAAAACAAGAATAGATCCACTGAATTCCCAGCAAGCATGTCATAGTAGTCGACTAACTGGAAACTTCCTTTGAAGTCGAAGTGCATCTGCTCGAGCAGCAAGGAACAACGAACTGCACACAAATAAATCAGTAAAACGGATGTACACGCAAAACTCAGACCCTGGTATAATAAAGCCAAAGTCTAATTGGACGAACAACCGGGACTTTCTCAGGAGCTTACTGCTGGTGAACAAAGAAGAAAAAGAAGATCTGCAATGTTAGTTACACGAGAGTCAGTATTGGGGGGGGGGGGGGGGGGGGAGAGAGAATAATTGTTGTAGCATCAGCAACATCAAAAAAGAAACAAGAAATTGTTTGTAGTACTGAGACTGATTTTATATTGCCAAAGCAAAAACGCCATTCATGAAGCAAAGCCATGTCATCTAACTAAGTAACATTCATCTATGAGCTGGCACAATTGCAATGCTGTCTGGAAATCAGATGACAAGTAACCAGCCATTTTGTTTAGCTAATAAGAGTTGTAAGGTTACATGTTGATTGTTGAATTGAGAATTGACATCACAGCACTCATGACACTCCCATAAGCGCTCCATCCCTATCTTTAGCAGCAAGTGAAAAGTTTCAATTCTGATGGTACCAGTAGCTGTCTGATTGTATATTCGTTTCGCTTTTCCATTGAGTGTCGGCCATATTCCCTGGTAACTCCTCGCAGCACCATTCCTTCTCAAACTGTTACGATCTATCTGTGCCTCCGAACTGTTCACTCGCTCACAAAAGGCCCTTACAACCTCTAGCTTGTCATTCATCAATTCACCACCAAGTGGTGCAGAACCAGCCAGTCTATCTGCGTGCTCATTTCCCCAAACACCAGTAGACCTTGAAAACTTTTCAAAGAGTGTTAACTACCCAGGACCTCTGAAGTGATGCTTGTCACTCTGCATGGAACATGCCTGTCTCCACCTTTCTCAACATGCTCTGTGAGTCAGTTACAATCACAGTATGTGTGTACAGCATCGAGCAAAGAGTGAAAAATTAATTCTACTATTGTATCAATGATGAGACACATTTATTGTTGTCAATGTTTGGAAAAAAATAATGACAGATATTTAGATATTCACTATTCAAAACTTATGGAAATGACTTAAGATGAAACAAGGCTTGTACATCCAATTTATGTTCACAGTGATTAACTAATTCAGCTTTAACTTCAGCTGCTCCAGGTTTATATAGGCTTCATAGATTCTGTGTCCCAAATGTCTGTCCTTTTACATTCAGATGTCATTGTCTGTTTAAATCTGTTCTTTTTTTTTAGGCTTAGATAGCAGATTATCTTCTTCTTCTTCTTCTTCTCTAGTCATGTTCTGCCTTTAAACCTCAGGTTTTGAAGAGGCATTCAGTGCAAGCCTTAGTATGTGCTACACAGATGCTGGCATTTATGGCTCCAGATATTCCATCTATCTATCACTTGTGCGTTCGACCTCTAACTCTGCTTCCATCTGATTTAAGTGACAAGGCTCTTCAGACACATGTCTGAACCATTTAATCTATTGCCTCTTGATGTAGGTTTGTACTGATTCCGTCTCAACTTCCTTCAAGATATCATCATTTCAGATCAAGTCTCTTCTATTTTAGTTACATTTAGGATTTGATGTAGACATTTAATTAGAGAACAGTTTTGTGATAAAATGAGGTCTTACAAGGCCCCATGCTTCAACCTCCAACTTGGAGGATTAGGGTGTCTCTCTTGACCTGTTCTCTACCCTTTGACCTATCCGGCTTGGGAGATAATTCTAGTAGCTACATGTCTACATACATTTATACTGAAAGAGACAAACACTGTGCACACAAAATAGCAGACTGAGGCAGACTAAGAAGATGGAGAGATAATATACAGTCAGACCTACAAACACTTGAAGTCACCAAGTAGAAAAAGAAAATGGCAATCACAAAGATGAATTGTGTCAGGTGATGTCTGCAGCAATGAACATCAAGGGCGCAGAATTCTGAAGAAAAAAATGATGAACTTATTGCTAGAATCACACACAGATAATTAGTTAGTTGGGTTATCATCATTTCACTCTGGACATGTCCAGAGGGCTCAGATCCTTCCCTCAATATGAATCTTAACCTCCGGTGGCTAAAGTAATAGTTCTATGTTGATTAACAAGTCCTCTGGTGTGCGTCTTGTTTTTTGCTATGCTGATCTTTACTCCCAAGTCTATCATTCTGGCGAATGACGTGGATTCACTGCCACCAAAGTCCTCCACCCTTCCCATTTCTCTGAGTGCATTAATAATATCAGCATGATCCATATGTTCGAGTCAAGAATTGACATCACAGCACTCGTGGCATTCCCATGCATGCTCCTTCTTTATCTTCAGAAGCCAGCGTAAAGTTCCAGTACTCATGGTACCAGTCACAATCTGGTTATATTTCCGTCTTGCCTTTCCTCTAAGCACAGTGAGCCGGCCAGACCCTCTGGTTACACCCAGGTGCCTCATTCTCTCCAGGCCATAATAATCTTGTTTCTCTACTGATTCCGTTGCTTGTTCCCAAAGGGCCTTGACCACATCTGCTTTGTCATGTATCAATTCACCACCCAGGAGTGCAGATCCAGCCAATCTGTCCGCCTGATCATTACCTACTACCCTGGCATTGCCAGGAGAAAAGATCCAGTATGCTCACTAAGCATAAATAAAGATTGATGTCTAACTGAGAATGCAGACAGATGAATTTGATGTAAAGTAAGAGATGACCTGCACAATTTTAGTGGAAGATTTTAGCCAATCATGTGATGCATTGTCCAATGATTAAAAACGTGCTTGTTGAGTAAGCAAAAGACATTACTACTTAGTTTATTTACACACCAAGAGATGCTGAATTAAAAACATTAATATTCGGGAAGAAACAAACTTTTATTTGTTTAAAGTACAAGTTACAAACTATTCAAAGTGCTACTGACAATGACAGTGCTCGCTATAAGTACTCCTTCATTAAAAAGGCAGGCAGTCTTTCTGAACTATAGGAAACTGAACAGACACCTAAATGAAACATGAATACTGACAATTCATCACAGATAATCTACTATCAAACACAGTTATCAAGTAATAAATCCTATTACTGGAGTGTTCCTTCTTGTGACCACTTCTCTGGTTTACAGCGACAGAAAAGTTCTTTTGAAAAAATTTACCATT